ATTGTCTTAATACATGGAACTTATGAAAACTGAGTGTGGGGTTGGCTTACGTCTATAATGGGGATGGGCTTATAAGTTTGGGTATTAGGCTGTTATACTAATGCCATTTGATACATTATAGCATTTTATATTTTAGGAGAAATAACATTGCAGGATTCTAGATTTCAGGTATAAGTTCATTTTCCTTGCTAATATTAAAGCTTCATCTGCATTTCTCTGTATCTAAAATGTAGATTCTAGTGGATGACATTTCATCCTTAAAAAGTTCTGTTTGACCTTTCAGGCGCCCTATGGAAGAAATATTGAAGTTGTTGCCAGGACCACACATGGAGACAAGAAGAGTCCGTTTTACTTCCATCGACTATTTAGTTTATTGTTACATTTCTTTTATATATCATTTATCTTTTTCTCTTTGTGTCTATTAGCATCTATAAATATTTTTATTTCCTAATAATTAATAGGTTTAACAATTTTTACAGGGTGGGGTCTCAAGCAGTCAATTGTTTGATTCGTCACAGGGGTCCTCGGCCACCATAGACAAGTAATTTAATTTCTCTCAGAGTATTTTTGTTGGCAAGACTTTATTATCCTTTTCAAACAATCAATTATAGATGCAAACATCTGACTTGCAGATGATAAAAAGCAATTTTCAGCATAATCTTTCTGTTTATTTGAAAAATAAAAAGGGATTTCCCCCCGCTTAATGGATAACCATTTGTTACCAATGGGGGATTTTTTCTCCAAAATTTAGGTGATTGGATTTGCACCAATGGAAACCATAAGTTTGATACACAATAGAAGGATATGATAGATCGATCCTTTTTAGTTTTTTAGATAGTGAATGGAATTCCTCCTTTCTATTTTATTCACTGGTACTGATCATTGATACTGACAAAAGAGTTTTCTTTCTTTTGTCTCAGCCATGATCTAATCTGAACGTGTGCAGAGTCTAGATTAGCATTAATGTTGTGTGTCTGACTTGTTCTTTAGTCTATAATATTTCTTAAAGAAGTATTTGAATTTCTGTTTCTTTTTTTGATGAATTTTTTTCTTCGAACATGCATTTCATGGCTTCATGTAGTTCTTCTAGTGTTAACACTTTTCACATATTTCAGGTAGCTGATGGAAGAGGTCCCTGTACTTGTTGTCTTTATTGGAGTGTACATATGCT